TACAGTTATGGTCTGGTGTGATAACCACGGCACAAACCATAGAACAAAGTATGATGAGATCCCTAGAGAGAGCAGGGTGCCTGCATAGCTCACTCCTTCACCTCCTTCAAGGTTTTGTTCAAATGTCCTCTTTTCGATGAAGACCAGCCTGACTCGCCTTTTAAAAATAGCAGTACCCACCACCTCCTCATTTCTGGATTCCCTTACTCTGCTCAACAATTTTTCTTTTTCCATTGTATTTATTGCTCCCTGTCTCAGTTGGCTGTTGCTGAGTAATAAGCCATCCCAAAACTTAGTGTAAAACAATGATTTCCTCTCTTTCACTGTTCTGTTGGTTAATTGAACTTGGTTGGCTAGTTCTTGCTTGGGGTCTCTCCTGCAGTTGCAGTGAGATATCAGCTGGGGTTTTGGTCATCCAAATGTTCAACGGGGCATGACATCTAAGGAGGCTTCTCTCATGACTGACAGTTGAGTGTGGCTGTTGGCTGGGAGCTCAGCTGGTGCTGTCCACCAGAGCATCTTCATATGGCCTCTCCATGTCACTTGGGCATCTCACAATGTGGCAGTTGGATCCAAGAAGGAGTGCACCAAGAGTAAGCGTTCCAAGAGGCAGGAGGTAGAAGCTGCCAGGCCAGTGATAAACTACACTTGGAAGTGGAACAGTACCATTTCTTCTGTATCTGTTGGTCCTAGGACCTGCCCAGATTTACTTTTGTTGGGGCAAGAGTATATTGCAGAAGAGCATGTGGGATGGAAAATATTGTTGGAGCTGTTCTTGGGAAATACCTTCTGCCATACTTTCTTAGTATCCTTATAGAATTTATTTATTTTTTTCCTTTTTCTCCCCAAAGCCCCCCGGTACATAGTTGTGTATTCTTCGTTGTGGGTTCTTCTAGTTGTGGCATGTGGGACACTGCCTCAGCGTGGTCCGATGAGCAGTGCCATGTCCGCGCCCAGGATTCGAACCGACGAAACACTGGGCCGCCTGCAGCGGAGCGCGCGAACTTAACCACTTGGCCACGGGGCCAGCCCCCTTATAGAATTTATTTTTATGCCAGTTTTTGTTGACTCCTGCTAGGATATCAGCCCCATGGAAGCAGGAGTATCCACTGATGTACACCAAGGACCTACACCCATGTTTGGCACTTAATAAGTACACAATGATTATTTGTTAAATGTTCTAACAAATATGTCTAAGTCGCTGTGTTCAGACTGTTGCCTGTCCTGGTGGTGTGAGTTTTTATCACACTCCTGATTTACATTCTTTTCTGTCTTTTAACAGACTGTAGACTCTGTAAGGGCAGGGGTCATGCCTGGTTATTAACCACCACATTGCTCAGTATCTGGCAAGCAGTCACTGCTCAATAACTATATATTAAATGAATGCAAAAATAAGTCATTAATTCTGCTTGGAGCATAGAGAAGTTATGAAGAAGAGACTGTATTTGAACTGAGATCTGAAGGATAAATGGGACTTGCCAAGGAGGACAAGGAGCGATAGGGCGTAAAGGCAGAAAAAAACACCATGAGCCAAAAGGGAAGGATAAATGGGACTACTGAAACTGACCTGTTAGCCCCCTGACGGCTGAGTCCCCACCTGATTTGACCTCTGGTCTATTTCTCACACTAGCTACCTGGTGATGCAGTAGTCAGGCATGCAGCCCATGCTTGTTGGATGAATGAATGTCAAGGGAGAGTATAATATGTGAACTCATCTATGACTTTTTTGGGAGGAAAGGTTTAGGTTTGGTAATCAAGAATAATTCTTGCTAATGAGAGGCTCTTTTAAATACAAACCCAGCAAATTTTTTTTAAAATATCGAAAAATAGCCAACTTTTGTATTTTTTAATATAATGAAAGCTAATTCAATTTATGCATGTCAAATAACTTTCAATCAGAGTAGAGTCATTTATATTCTTATGTTACTGTCTAGCATATTGTTTGCCTAGTGAGAGAATGTAGGAAAATCCTTATGGTTAACCCTGAAACCTTAGACCAAATCTTACAAGGGAAAGACTAATCTTTAGGTCAAGAGGAGAGAAGAATGAGCCATGCATCTTTCATAAGGATGATGAAAATTCACAGTAAGACAGCAGAATTGTTAAACTCATGAGTATAAACACAATTTTCTGAAAAATTAAACAATACAGAAATTATAATATTTTAAAAACCATTATGCATCATTGTTTTCCGTGAGCTTGTTATTAAAATATGACCAGTTATTAAAATATCAAGGAAAAAAATAAATTTAAGCCTTTGTGTCTTAATCCATAAGAAATATTAAGTAACAGGTAAATAGAGCGCTTGTTATGTATTAATATATGTGAGGCTTCTTGTGCTTTCCATCCATATTGGAGTAAAAATTCCCAGTTACTTCATCTTCAATTAGATCTAGCCATAGAGTTATATTAAGCACCTACACAAAATGAGTCCTTTCTATAGCCCAGTTCCGTGTGAAAGTATGAAGGAATGATGACAATAGTGTGCAAATGGTACAAAAATGTAGACTCAGCTTGCATTTTAATTCATATGCTTCGTAGATGACAATTGTACAGAAGGGCAGTATTTGAGACAGGAAGCAACCCGTTCTCCCTGATCTTGCATCCTGTTAAGAGGGAAAAGAAATCTCTGATGCTTCGTATACAGAAGTGTTCCCGGTGGCCTTAACCATGCACGGTCTTCCATGGGTTCTTTGACACCTTCAGTTCTTCATGCTGATCATTTTCAGTTCTGGAAGCTTCGTGCTCTTTAATTAGTCGTCCTTACTTATGTCCTGCTTTTTACAGCTCTGGGATTTTTCTCACCAAAACCTAGTGGTTAATTTTGGAATATTTCAGGGTCCCCTCATTGTGATCTCAGCCAGTGGAACTGATTTCTTCACCATTCAGGGCATTCATGAGCCCCCCAAATGCTTTTAAGACGGTGTTGCTTGCAAATATATCCCACTTCCTGATGAACGTGTATGTACACACACTTACATATGCATTCATACACACACACGTCAGCTTTTTTCCTTGACTCTTACCACACAAATCCAAGAGTGCTGGAATTTTATACCCAGCCCTTCCAGCAGGTACGATTATAGTCTGATTTCAAAAATCCAAAGAACCTATTTGACTACTCCTGAATGGGAACAAGATATAGTGATTCCTGGGATTTTCTCCTCATAGCACATGTGGCTTTCGAATTTGAACCACCACTTGCCTCCACCCAAATTGTATATTCAGAAAATGGCTTATGTGTTTCTTCTGGCACAGAGTGACCATTTACAGCCTCATAGCCACATTTACAGTCATTCCATGGCAGTGACATTCTTTCAAAGACCCTCACGTAACATCAAGAGCCCCCGACAGTAATACTTTCTGCTGGTGCTTCTTTAAGCCTTAGCTATTTCCTTCAGAATACCCCATAGATAACATGATCAGCTGCACCAAGCTGCCCTGCACTCTTTCCTCGCACACTGGGGAAGGTGGGTGTGAGGCTGGACAGCACATGGCCACTGGTCGTCTTCTCCAGGGCTTCCTCATGCGCTTTGCCCTTAGCCTTGTTCTTGCGGGTACTGCTCTAGCAGACTTATCTCACCTCCTCACCCTGTTGCCAAGGCCACTATAGATGAGGCCAGCAGCCAGTCCAGGTCTGTGGTACCTTGTCAGCCTGTAGCCCGGGTCCCTCACCCTCTTCCCAGGGTGAAGAGGTCAAAGTGGCTGGCCCAGAAGCCTAAGGGAAGGTGGTAGTCAGTAGAGCATCCTGAGCCCCAGCTGGAGATACGGGTCACTGTGACACAGAGGCCTGTGGGGGCCATAGTGGGTGCTTCAGATCTTGCATGTCACCCAGTGCCTGCACCCTGCATTCCTCTTACCCCAGAAAGGCACATTTGGGCCAAGAAGCTGATGGTTGTTACAGCTTGGGGCCCTCATGTTTTTTAAAAAGTAGCCTTTTTGTGATATAGTTCACATACCATACAATTCACCCATTTAAGTATATAATTCAATAGCTTTTAGTGTATTCACAGATGTGTGTAACTATCACCACTGCCAATTTTAGAATATTTTCATCACCTCAAAAAGAAACTCTACCTTTTAGCTCTCACTCATCATAATCCCAGCCCCATCAGCCCCCCAGTGCTAAGGAGCCACTAATCAACTTTCTGTCTCTATTTCGGTCTATTCCTTATTCTGGACTTTCATATGAATGGAATCATATAATATGTGGTCTTTTGTGCCTGGCTTCTTTCACTTAGCATGATGTTTTCAAGATTCATCCATGTCATAGCATGGATCAGTACTTCATTCCTTTTTATGGCAGAACAACATTCCATTGTGTGGATATACAATGTTTTGTTTATCCATTCATCTGTTAATGGACATTTGGATTGTTTCCATCTTTTGGCTATTGTGAATAATGCTGCTATGAACATTCTAGTATAAGTTTCTGTGTAGACATCCGTTTTCATTTCTCTTGGGTATACATGAAAGAGTGGAATTGCTGGGTCGTATGGTAACTCTGTTTAATTGTTTGAGGAACTGGCAAACTGTTTTCTGAAGTGGCTGCACCATTCTGCATTCCCGCCAACAATGTATAATGGTTCCAATTTCTCCACATCTTCACCAGCCCTTCTTGATCTGATTTTTGATTCTAGCCATCCTAGTCGGTGTGAATTCATGAAATTTTGAAAGGATTTGGGAAAGATTTTCCCTTTCTAGTAGTTTTTTAACACTATATATATATATTTGTGCTCCTTTTCCTAGTATCCACAAAGCATGACTGCTAAGAGTTTCTGTTGTCTGTCAAGAATAGAGGAAATTTCAGTATTTGTTAATCCAAAAATGTCATTGATTGAAATCAATATGGGAGACTTTTTTTAGCACGTGAGTTGAGGGGACGAAAGGGAGAGGGTGGAGAAGTGGGGCCGGGCGGTGTATTTCCTGGAATGTTGCATCTTTTGCAGGAGGTTGCTCCACTTCTCATCACTGTGTCTAATAGTCCCTCTGTCTTTTAGGAGGACTGGCGTTGGCTCAAGTGCTCTTTTTCTATGTGAAGTACTTGGTGCTCTTTGGCGTCCCAGCTCTGCTCATGCGCCTGGATGGACTCACGCCCCCACCCCTGCCTCGCTGTGTGAGCACCATGTTCAGTTTCACGGGCATGTGGAGGTCAGTGGCTTGGTTTGTTAAAGCCCTTCAGGGGTGTCCTGTGGGAGGACCCATGGTTTGGCCAGCTTCAAAGGGCAGGGGCCACCATCCTTTCTCTGCCCTTTATTCAAGCCGCATTTGGCACTTCAGTTTCTTCATCTAATAGGATCACAATCCATGCTTTCCGAACCTCCCCAAAACATTGTCAGGCTATGAAGATATGTGAGAGAAGAAAGTTTCTCATCAAGTCTGTGTACAAATGCATAAAAGTTTGTCGAAGGTGGTTTCTTACTAATCTGAGACATGCTACTATATACTGATTATTTTATTGCTGTCTGTTTTTCTTGAAAGTGACATCTGTATATGTCGGACTGTCAATTAAAAAAATAGGATAATAGCATATGCCAGTGTTGGCATTTACTAACTCTCAGATCTAGGGTAAATTGCTAAATCTCTCCAAGTTTCAGTTTTCTTATCTCTTAAATGGTAGTAATAATAATAATAATAATAATGATAATAATACCCACCTCTAAGAGTTGTTTTGCAGATTGAGAAAGCTAATGCATTGAAAGCGGTGGCACATAGTAGATGTTTACAAATGTTAGCTTTTGTCCTTATATTATTCCTATACTTGGTGCATATGGATAGACAGATGCTTTTTCTTTTTCTTCCTCCTCTTGATTTTTCCCCATAACTGTGTGATTGGCTTGGAGTCTTTGCCCCAAAAGATCCCTCAGGCCCCATGCCATTTCTGACTGTTGTTCTCCAGATGGGCTTGCTTGCTGCTGTGTTTTTCTTGTTACTCCCAGCATGTAACAAGTGACAGGCTTGCTTTTGCAATTGCAAGCCTAATGTAGGAACCTCAGGGTGGGGACTGGCACATCCCAGAGAGTCAGTGCTTCCTTAAATTTTGCTCTTTACATGCCTCCATTTACCACAGCGTGGTCTTGGCCCTGCTCAGAATCGCCATTCTGGCTCATTCATGTGGCCTATTCAGTCTTGTATTTCATCCCTGTAGGCAGAAGAGCCAAGACGTGATAGAGGAAGAGCTCAGTGAATATTACCATGTCTAATGTTGGTATTAAAAAGGGGGTAGATAGCACATGGCATCCTGGTTTTCCATAGTAACTTATTATAGATGCTGAATTTATCTAAGCCTCCATAAATACATTTTATTTTTGGTCCCGTTTGCTTCTTGGGATTAGAAATATCATCTGGTTATTGCAAGGAATGTCAAGTAATTGCTTTGATTTGTCCTTAATTACTTCATCAAATATCATATATTTCCGGTTATAATGGCAAGGTTAGCAAAGGGACTCTCTCTAGCTAGGGGGCCAGGGAGTGGTTCTTATTTAAAAGGTGAGCCTGGTTGGAGGGCTCTGATAACTTTTGACCTACTCATAAAAGTAATTTACTCAATAAATGAGTCGGGACTCAGCTTGTCACAAGTGCATGGTGTGGACCTGGCACGGTTCCTCCGCCTGCACACTCCTTGGCGTGAATGCTTGCACTAATGCATTTCTTGGGAAGCACATTCTCCTAAAGGGCCTCTCCATTGTCAGTTGGCATCATAAAAACCATGCTCGCTCCAGGCTCCTGGCTCCTTGTCCATAACTACCAACCCTTGATTATCACAAGAGGCAGTTTAGACAGTTGAATCTATTTCACATTAAAATTGGTTGTCTTCTTATTCTTTATTATTTTAACTAATTAATTAATTCATTATTTTTGTCCAAGACCCTCAGTTGTATACAAACCACAGAGGTGGAGAGAGCATGTCTGCCAAGACCTTTGTCCTTCTTAATTAGAACTAGACTCAAATAGTCTAGACTCTGGGTTGTTGAAACACTCTCTCCTCCCTCTCAGTTACCATGTGGGCAAGAGAGTAATAGTGAAAAGTTACTCTGAGGAGGAAGCTCTGGGGTGACCCCTTGGAGTGATGTGGTTCTAAAGGGAGATGCTTACAAGGGCATGTGATGAAATAACGTACATGCTCTTTCTTGGGAGTGACCAAGACTTTTATCTTCGAATCCTTTAACATGCATGGCGTAGATTTTCCCCTTCACATTTATTTTTAGTCTCTTTAAGGGTTTTCTGGTTTGCCAATTATACTTAGAAACATCTGGGCCTTCATTCTTTGTACGCAATGACCATTCCACATTAAGTAGTTGAATTTGGGAAGGAAGATTAACTCCCTCTGAGCTATAGTGCACAATTTAATGCTCAGACGTAGTTTTTTAACTGAAAAAGGGATAAAAATTATAGGTCTGTTTTTGCACTATTTGCAGATGCTCCTTCACCCTTAGGGGGGTTTACCATGTTCATTTTCAGGGTCTGGTAGCCTACACTAGTTCTGGTCCCCATTTCTCTGGTTTTTCTCTGTAAGAATGCATGCCAAGGGAAAATAAGTTTTGAATTTGTAGTTTCTATTTACATTTAATTTTATGCTAATATTTCTGGGCCATCTACTGAGGCATTGCTGCACACAGGGAATTGCTCCCTCTTCCTGGATTTAGGTCTGAGATGAATTGAGTCATGAGCAGATGTGAAAGCTGGCAATGTAAATCATTCTGCCTGGCCTTGGCAGCCACTCACATGGTGACACAAAGGGCAGAGTGGATGGGAAGTGACAGGAAGAGATTTAAAAACAATCTCTGGAGATTGTTTAATGGTTACCTGAATTTATAGAAAATCCACGCTGAATGGGATGAGAACTGATGGTGAGAGATGAATTTTTAGTTTCCTTTTTGAAGGAGCCTTACACACCTGAACACTGTGCTGACTGATTGCTCTGTCTTTCGGTCCACTTAGCAGTAAGACTGCTAAGACTTGAAGCCAGCGCCTACTGTATCAGAGGAACCTGGGCTTTACATCATAGAACAGATGAAATTGGCTATCAGCAGAGAGATAATGTTCCCTGTAGTTCAAATTGATCATAAAAAATTACTATTCACCCAGATGGCCCAAACCTGAAAGTTAGAATCTGATGGGTTTGTTTATTCTTTTTTCCTTCTAGTTCTTCTCTTTTGTATAATTCCTGCTCAAATATTTGCAGGTATAATAAAACCCTAAGGAAGATGTGTATTCCCACTTGCATGATTTTTCTGTGGTTGTACAGACCAGAGAAATTGAAAATTTTCTGCTTAATTTTTAGGTTTCCTGTTTTAATTTAGGTAGGCCGAGATCTATAATGAGCATCTTTTGCCAGGAGTCATTAAAGATGACATTGCATGTCCGAGGTTCCAAATTAAAAATCTGATCCTGTTCTCCTGTTTCGATTTCTATCTCTGGAAGCAAAGTATGCAAAGTGATAGAATTTCCCATGGTGGCTGGTGAGTTATGGGTCAATTTCAATTATCTCATGAATCTCACACAGCTTGCCCTCTGCATTTCTTGAATTATGATCCTCTCAGGTCTTCACAGACAAACGCAGGCATCACTGCTTATCCCAGAGGGATCTGGTTGCTGTTGGTGGCTGCGGACCTTAATATATGGGGACATCTTTGGGCTGGGGATGGGGAGGAGGCTGAGCTCCTTCTTTCAGTGGGCATCAATTCATGAGCTGTTAGATCAATAGAAAAATTTAGGTTTCTAGGTGGAGAGTTGGTCCAGGCCTGTGGTAGATGATAAAAACCAGCTATACAAACTGCTGGCTTTGCATGAGTCCTGCCTTTGAATCATGTTTAACCTCAAGTTGCAGGACAGAATAGCAAGCATGGAGTTGGTGAAATACACACCATATCTCCCAGCATTGCTCGATGGAAGGCAGGAGCAACATGAACATAAAGGAGTAGAGATGGAGCAGGTGCTGTTAAGAAGAGTTTCCTTTATTTTGGAGGCAGCCTAGTAACTAAGAGCTTGCTACTTACTAATTGTGTGACTTAGGCAAATAATTAAAATGCTCTGGGCCAATCTCCTCATCTCTAAAATGGAGATAATAATGGTCTTTGCCTCACAGAGTGATTTAAGGTTGATTGAGCCTGGTGGATGGTAGGTCCTCAGGAAGCATAGCTTCTTACTTTGTTTGCAGTTGGAAATGTAACAAAGCCAGAAGTGACTGAGAATCCACCGGTGGATGGTCCGAGTTGGGGAAGCAGTGGGCAGTGATGACACTGGCTGAGTAAAGGCTCCAGTTGAGCTTTGAGTCTGAGATGTGACAATTCAGAGATAAAGACTATGGTGGAAAAGTCACTGACTGTCCTCAGAGGAAGGAGCTTGATCAAGTTTCTGTTGCCTTAGTTTCCTCATCTGTTGAGTGCAAGACAGACTCTTGTCATTAGATGAAGTCCGTGCTCCCTTCCAGTTCTGTCTTGGTATTAGCTCCAGTCACATTGGATGGGGATGACCACCAGTGTCCTGGTGCTAAAGGACTCCCACCCCCACCCCCATGTACTTGGGCAAGTTGTTTTATCCCTTAGGCCTCAGTTTTCTGAGGTGTTAAAATAGGGCTAATCATAGTATTTGGCTCACTGGGTTGTTGTGAGGGTTAAGTGAGATCAGATGCGAAAGCAGTGAACACAGAGCATGCACACTGTAGACACCAAAATGTTAGTTGAAAATCATAATTACGGATATGAAAGTCAACTGGACATTGTTTGTTTTTTAATTTCCCAGAAAAGAAAGGCCTGATAGGGTGGGTAGTAGAAGGTGGTAGGGTGGATGATATGTGGAAGGCATGGATTTCAAAATGGAAGCAAGGGGGTCCCCACAATCTGCACCAGTGTGACCCTCCCTCACCGCTAGGGGAGTTCTGTCTGCTCACAGTTTCTAGCTACTGGACATTTCCATTACCTCACAGTTTTGAATCTCTCTTAGTCCACCCTTCTCTCTTATGATCCCATCTCAACAGGCTCAGAAAACATTTTCTTTCTTGTAACATTCATATTTCAGAATCCCCTTACCTTTTCCTCCAAACAGACTTCCATAAATCAAAGCAGAAAGAGAATATCGAGTTAAGGCAAATTTTATGAACCATCATTATGTTTTGCTTCCTGGATTTATTTTTGCTTCAAAGACAGTTC